CCTGTGGAGATCCCTCAGCTTTCTATTCCACTATGGAAGAGCCACCACTATACACTTCTAGTGCCTCTCCATGCTGATGAGCCTCTGAAACTGTGAGAAATGGGCCCTTTCTCTCTTGATTCTGTCAGGTCAATTGCCATAGCAACAGGGAAAGTGACTGACTTTCCCTGTTGCTATGGCATTATTTTCATAAGATGTTCACTCATGCCACACCTCAGAGACTCCTCTGCAGTAGATCAAGGACCCTATTTCTAGAGGGGTCCTCCCTTTGCCCAGAAGACAAGAAAGCCCTTGTCCCTGAAGACACTGGATCACAGAGAAGAATCTGAACAAAGCTCTTCTAAACTCCCCTTGGCTCATTACCACTAAGCCACTTTCCTCTTTTCTAATTGTGTCTCCACAACTACCCATTCCTTGTTCAGACCACGTCAGAATACAGAGGAGATAGTTGTTGTTGCTGTGACAAAATACCTAACAAATACATGCAGAAGAAAGGTTTCTTTTGGACCACAGCTTAAAAGAATTTGAACCTATTATGGTGGAAGGCACAGAGGTAGGATCCTGAGGGGACTTTGTCACACGGCATCTTCTATCAAGAAATCAAGAGCAGGCAGTAAGTGGGGCTGAGCTGCAAACCTTTGAAGACCATCCCAGTGGCCCATTTTCTCTAGCAAGGCTCTACTGTCTTCCCAAACCTTCCACAGCCTTCCAAAATATCATCACCTCCTGAGGCCGAAGTGTTCAAACACATGAGCCTATGTGGTCCACTTCACATTTGCATCCCCATATGTTCCTGGTCCTCCTTGCTGAATGCTCGTGTCATATGAAGCACATATTGAATAAGTATGGATGTGTCTCTTACTAACCTCAATTTTGTGACAGGGTTCTGTCTTGAGAAAAGATTTCTTTCCCCGCTCAGAGCACCTGAAGAAGTTGTTTTTACCTCAGGAGCACCAGGAAGGAGAGATAGACTGGTAGAGTTCAGGGCTTGCTGGTGAAGTACGAAGCTGTGCACCTAAAACCTGTTCTGTTTCTTCAGTGATGTAGAATTCTGAGCTTCCGCTGGAAACTGGATGAGGTGCCACACCATATTTGTTGTTAAATCGGGCTAGTTGAGGTATTGTCTTAAGTCTGGTAAAAGTAATCTTATGAGCTCTAGCGAATGCACACAATGCCCATCACAATTACCGTATGACTAAGTTTCATCCCCTCCCACAATTCTCTTGTGCTCCTTAGTTGCCAGCCCTTTGCCTCACCCAAGATGCTGGCAACCACTGGTCTGATTTCTAAGTCATCTGACTCTCCCGGGTGTTTTGTGAGTTGGGTCACATAGTGTAGCCTTGTGAGTATGGCTTTTGTGACTCAGGTAACATGTGTACAACTCATTTGTTTCTTGTGGCTTAGTGGCTCATTTGTTTCCCTTGATAAGTGGAATTCCATTATCATCCGGGTTTGTAGCCCTTCCACCTTGGGAGGTTTGAACACCACCACTTCTAACCTCCATGCACAGGTTTTGTATGAACACAAATTTACATCATTCTTGAGTCAATATCAAGTAGGATGAAGGAGTTCTGTTGTGTATTTATGTCCACAAGAAACCACTCTAGTGCATTCTCTCAGAAGCTTGCTGTTCTAGAAATGTGGGGTTTGTAAGGTGAAGGCATGACGTCAGCATCTGGGAATAAAATGTCTCCATCTATACCCCTTCCCCAACCTCCACCCTGCGAGCTCTGACTGCATTGCCTCAACTTCCTTACTGTCAGGAAAGGAGGGCACAGATTAGGTCAGAGAGAAATAAGCCTAGATTTTCTGTAGTCAGAGTTTCTTTAGACTGCCAGCTCCCAGATAATGATACAGAGACTTATTAACTATGAAAGCTTGGCCTTAGCTTAGGCTTGTTCCCAACTAGCTCTTGTAACTTAAATTAACTCATTCATATTAACCTACAATCTGCCACATGGCTCATTACTTCTCCTCCATACTGTGATTTGACTTTCCCTGTGTCTAACAGGTAAATTCTCAGTGCCTCAAATTCTTCCCAGAGTTCCTATCTCTCTCTGGAAGCCTCACCTATCCTCTCCTGCCCAGCTATTGGTCATTCAGATTTTTATTAAACCAATCAGAAGGTGCCTTTCACACAGTGTGATCAAATGTGCTACAACAATTTTCCCTCC